AATTCTACATATATAACGGATATGTCAGTATACGTTTCGAGTTTGAATTATAGATATAAATAAATAAATACATAAAATTCTTATAATTAAGTAGATATGGACCATACATGATGACATAAATCTAAGCTAATTGTGTTATTATTTTTTATTCTTCCTTTTGCGGATAGTAAATCAATGGTGATATATAAAAAAAGTCTCGATTCTTATCCACGACAACTGAGAGTGGTAATTTACATATTAATTAAACTAAATAAAATTAGAGTTTAAATTATATATAATGTTAGTATAGTAATGTGATTTTGCATTATCAAGTTGATCTTATTAATAATAAAACATGAGAATACACACAAACATGCCTCATTGTCAATATAATAGTGTGATTTTGCATCATCAAGTTGATTTTATTTATAATAACATGAAATATGAAAAAAATAGAATATGCACAAATACTGCCTCAATCTCATAAAGATAAAAAAACTATCTTCCATAGAAGCTCGACTCAAATGACATATCACAAGATCATGATAATTTTTGGGATAATGCACAAATACCGCCTTAGACTATGATCGAAATCCTAGATACATACTTAAATTTAACTAACATCGTATAACCGTCCCAACTAATTTAAAATTGAATAAATACACTATAAAAAAAAATAACATATAAAGTGTGCAAACTCTCTTGAACGCATGTGATGAGTGGACAAATTGGACATATGTCCTTTTTTAAATTGGTAACTTTATAATTAGTTAGTACACATAAGTTATATATCTATATAGCTTAAATTAATACGTTTAATATTAAAACTTATATATATTTTATTATTTCCATTTTTTGTAAAATATTTATTTTAAATTCTTTCTCAACTTTTACTTTTTATCTTTCATTATTTTTTTCTCTTTTCTCTTTTAATTATTTTAAAAAAATTATACGTATTTTTTTAAAAATAATTAAAAATTTCCTTTAATTTAAAATGTTATAATTTTTTTTATGTTTTATTTAATTTTCTTCACTTGTTTTATACTCATTTAAAATTATCTTGCTTTAAATATAAGACATTTATAATTAAATTTAAAATCAAATAAAAAAGAACGACAAAGAAAAAAAGGAGTAAATAAAATCAATAGAAAAAGAAATGAGGAAAAATGAATGAAGATTTAAAAAAATATATATTTTGATACAAGAAAAAAAAATATGTGTATTAACATAACTTTAAATACATGATAAAAAAAAAATATTTTTAAAATAATAATTTAAAAACATTTACACACATGGCACACATTCAATTTGGGTGGTTAAATATGCCACGTAACACAAATAATGTAAAAAATACTAAAAAAGAGTTTGGGGTTTGTAGTAAGGTTTATGTTTGGAGGAATACTTGCGCCTTATTCTTAAAGATATTATAACTATTATTAACATAAAGTAAATTATTACATTACATACATATAATTAAGAAATTTAACCGTCTATTTTGAGTAAAATTATAACAATATTAATTCTATCCCTAATATACAGATATTGTGGTTGCTCCAAGCAAAGAAATATTATTTTATTTATTTTTTATTCTATATTTTGTGCCAACATTAAAATCTCAACTAAATCACTTTCAACATGATTTTTAAATATTCGAGGTCGACCTCAAAACTTTGATAAAGAACTGCAGTTTTACTAGTGTATGAGTTTTTGTTTATGCTAATAATTAGAAGGAAATCCAATAAAGAAGATATGGGGTTCTAAAATTAAGAAAAGCTGTAAAAGTTATTGTTAAAGTAGTTAATAAAATGGATTAAAATTATTTGATTTTCAAAGCTATCATTTGGGGATTGATCCATGATCTAGAATAAGTGGTTTTAGATTTGTAATTAGTTCGATCAATAAATGTGTATTAAGTACTTTCTTTTAAAAAATAATTATGGTGGTTGATTTAAATTTTATGTACCCTGACTAATTTCATTCTATATATATCATTTTTCATTATAAACATTTACCAAGAATCTTTTTCTATTAAGATTAAAATATATGAAAAGATAAGTAGCATTATTTCAAGTTTATCGTCTCTTCTCACACATCCAATCCTCTCACATGATGTCACTTTCAAGTTTATTTTCACCTTTCCATCTGTCCTTGTCTTAGTGGTAGATATTGAGTGAAATTAATTGAGCAAAAACTGAATAAATTTTTTCACAAAACTTAATTTACTATTTAAAATTTTAACCAATAACAAGTGACATTTGCTTTCGTACTAAAATCGTGAAATTTCTTTAAAATATATAAATAAAAGCAAGCAAGGATAATTGTAATGACCCGAAGGTCATTTTCAAAAATTTATTCAAAATTTTAATTTTTACCCATCTCGATAGATGTCTTGAGTCAGTTTTTATCAAATTGTGAAGTTGATTTGAAAATTTTGAGCTATTTATAATTACGATAGTTTAGTAGAGGGGTGATTTTAGATAATTAATGTTATTTGGGAGCTAATGATCTTAATTCATAATTTATTTAATATATTACTTGGCTCAAAAACATTAAAATAAGGAAATAAAATAGTAGGGTTTAACATTTTAGTCCACAATTCAAAAGAGGAAAAAAAAAGATTGTACGAGAGAGGCACAATCGGCGCAATAAGAAAAACACTTCGTGCTTCAGGTAAATTTCAGATTACATTCTTATAATGTAAAGTAATTGTCAAGAGTAGCAGTACACATTAATATAATATTATTTATTTAAGAAAGAATCATGTATGTGGTTGTTTAGAAAAAATGTCGGCCAAAATAAATAATAGCAGCCTATTGTATTTAATTATGATTAATATTTAATGAATTTGAGGTTCCAATAATGAGCTAGTCATTTGAAACTTAAGATTTTGATAAGTTTTGGACAATGTGGGTATGTTTATGTATATTGAATCATTACTGGGTTACTGCTAGTTGAATTCATGTTGGGTTGGAATTATTCTTATAGATATTCTATCATAATTTAAGTTTTGGCATATTGAGATAGGTAATTAAATATTAAGTATAGTATATTATAATATATGTTATTCGGAGAATTAAGATTTAACTCTAAACTTGAAATTCAGAAAATATGAGATTTGATTAATTGGTTGGAATAAAGATTTAGAAATTTTATTATAAATTCGGATGAGTTTTGGGTCTAAGCTAGAGATATAGCAATATGAATGTTGTTAGTTTCGAAATCATATCGTGGTTATTTATTTGAATAGATTTTATTGGTTTGGAAGTCAACCAAAAGAGGAAGGCTCAAGTTTTGAGTCATTGTTCGACTATTTGAGGCAAGTGAATTTCTAAACTCTTGTTAAGTGTATGAAATGCGTGTATTTCCTTGTGGTATATGTTTGAGAGTAATGAGATTGGTGATGGGTTGACTTGTCCACATTGATTAGTTATAATGATGAAAAAAAAGGGATAACAAAAGGCAATCTGATTAATTGTTTATATGTCATTGTTGAGAAAGGGTTGAAGGCTTGTTGAATCATTGTCGATGTGACTTCATGTTTGTGTAGTTGTGAACTGTGCGGTGTTATGAAAATGGTCATCTCCTCATTATTTGTGTGAATTTGTCATCTGCATTATTCTGAGGCATTGGTTGTGACAAGTGTTATGTGCATTGAGAAAGAATGAGTACTTAAGAGGATGTACCATTTCGAGGGACGTATCGCGCGCCACGATGGATACTGTATTTCGAGGGACGTATCGCGCGCCGCGATGGTTACTATTATCGAGGGTCGTGTCGTGCGCCGCGACAGATGCATGAACAGATATGTCCCCCATGGGTCCCGGACTGAGAGACAGCGGGTGTGTCTCACTAGGTCAGATATGCATCATTATCCTTGACATTGCATTGCACATACTTATCATTAGTGAACTTGATATCGTATTTTGCTGATTTTATGATTGCCTTTCTGCGAACTTGTGATTGATCAATATTGAGCTTGTTATTGCGGATATGTATTTGTTGAAGTATTGTTGTTGAGGATATGTAATTTGTTGAAGTGTTGTTGTTGAGGATATGTAATTTGTCTAAGTGTTGTTGTTGAGCTACATACTATGTAAACTGTGAGCTGTTAGGTTGGGTTGATTTTAATGCAGGTTGTAGTTGTGGAGGTTCGGTTGGGGGTGGTAGGAGTACCCGTATTTTATCCCCTTAGCTTGTGTTTAGAGGTTTACTTGTTGAGTACCGTGTGGTTTGGTACTCACCCCCTGTTTCTACAAATTTTTATAGGTTATGAGCCTGGATTTTTGTTGTACTTGCCATTCTTTTCTTTCCCAAGGCTTCTTGGAGATTTGTGAGGTAGTTGTTTCCATCTCAGCAGACTTTCTTCTCCTTAATTATGATCTTGTTCTATTCTAGAAACAAGTTCATTTGAGACTTGAGTTTTTCTTTTGAATCAATTGTAATACTTTAGAGGCTTGTGGACGTTACTACCAGGTTTTGGGGTTTTTATTAAGTTACTTACACTTTATTTTCGCACTTTATTGTAATGGTTGAGTTTTAGGCTGACTTGTCTTGATGGGATAAGATGAATGCCACCACGTTCACTTTTGAGTCGTGACAACAATACATTAGTTAATTGAGCTAATTAAAAATTTGAAATCACTTATTCTACGTTATTAATCAACCCAAATATTAGCTTTTGGAATCAAATAATTCAGTTCACATTATAAAACATTGATTCGAAGTAAATAATAATATGATTATTCCTAATTTACATAATGTGTGCATGTTAGTGATAATAAAAATTCTGAAACATAAACATTATTAATAATTGGAAAATAATAATATGATTATTTCCTAATTTACATAATGTGTGCATGTTAGTGATAATAAAAATTCTGAAACATAAGCATTATTAATAACAAGTAATATAAATACTTTTAAAACCTAACTAATTTTATTTAATTTTAAATAATTAAAGAATATTTTTAACCATTTCCAGTGCCGTCGCTGTTGCTTTGTTTTTTTGCCTTTACTCTTTTGTCAGTTTCTCGTTTCCTTTTTTTGAGTCGACAATTACGCACACTACACTCCCACACTCAGTCCTTCTCAGTTTCAGTGCCACATACTGTAGATCACACACTCTCTTCTTCCATGGAGTTGCTTCATTCTCCTTCCATTTCTACCTACAAACCTAAACTCAATTACCAAAACCATCTCTTCTCCAGGAGAAACAGTAAACCTGTAGATTTTGAGACTATTCGGAGAAAATCAGTGGTTAATGCTGCTGTTCATAGACTTGCGGCGAAGACTGCGGCGAGTGCGGTGGTTGTGGAGAAATCCACTACGGAACGATGTCGTTTTGAGGTTTTGTCAGGGAAGCCATTGCCGTTTGGTGCTACTGCGACAGATGGTGGTGTGAATTTCGCTGTTTTTTCGAGGAATGCTACTGCTGCTACTCTTTGCTTGATCACTCTTTCCGATTTACCTGAAGTAATTCTACGATTATAAATTTTGTTTTTTGTTGTATATTAGAGTTTTTCCCCTTGTTTCATCGCTTTGATAATAGTAGCTGGTTACACACTTCAATTAAAGGGATGTTTAGCCATGTTTCATTGTGAAATTTGAAAAAAAGAAGAAGGGAGATTTTGTTTTCAAAGTGAAAAATGATATTTGAAAGTCGGAGTTGTGTATGTCTATCAATACGTACTAGAGCTGTTTTTCACTTTTTGTGAGTAATTTGGAGTGACACCACCTATTTGTTGTTTTCAAATTCTTGACACGACACCGGAATTTTATGGCCAAATTTGAGAAAAAAGTAAACTTTTTCATGGCAATTAACATTGTTAAAAAGTGAAATTTTTTCATGGCAACTAACGTTGCTTCTTAGTTCTGCTTCATTCGTATTTATGTTTTCTCTTGATAATTGTAGCTTTCTGGAAGAAATAAGCTATTTAGTTGACTGTTTATTCTGAAGTTCACTTTTTCTTGTAGCACTTTCTTAATCCTTGTTTATAATGAGTTGTTCTCATTGTGACTCGTTAAGGATGGTATTACTGCTATTGATATTAACAGCATATTAGAGTTGCAGGGAAGTATTATTCCATCAAGAAATTCACTTCCCTTACTTTTCTTCTTCTGATTTTTATGTTTCATAATGTATTAGATTGTATAAATAAAAATGCTTGATCTCTAGTGTGTTCTATGATCAACAACTTTTCAAATCAAATCATCAATATCAATTGCTCTTCATTCAGGTTCATTTCATTCCAATACTAAATTATTCCCTCTTTTTAAGAAAAATATGGGGATTTCTATATCTCATACTTATCCTACATGGATCACTAGTTTCATCCTAACTAGTTTGTTTCACTTGTATTGTTCCTTGGCTTCCATTGTGTTCTGCTCGTAGTTAATGGTTAAGTCTGCATTAATTTTGAGGGACTTAGGTCTTCCTATAAGCTTTCCCTCATTTCATTTTAGGCTATGTTGTATGAGTTATTTTACTTTGTAGAGTATGAGATATAGAAGGGCTTATTACGTAAATTCTTCTAAGAGATTTCAATATATTTATGCGAATACTTTTTATGGGATTAATTATAGCATATCAGGAGAAAGCGTATGAATTGTATATTTCAATACACTGTTGCACATCTGATTTGTTTGTCTTGTCAGTTTCTCAACTCTTGTTTACTCTTGCAGAAGAGAGTGACCGAGCAAATTTTCCTGGATCCTCTAGCTAATAAAACTGGAGATGTATGGCATGTGTTCCTTAAGGGAGATTTTGAGAATATGCTATATGGCTACAAATTTGATGGGAAATTCTGTCCTGAAGAAGGACACTACTTTGACTCTTCGCAGATAGTGTTGGATCCTTATGCCAAGGTCAGATAATTATGAAGTAAGAATGTTTTCTGTCAATATAAAGTCTATGCTTTCTTAGTCAGACTATGCTTCGTATTACAAATGACCTCTATTTGTGTATTTATCTATTATGTTCTTTTGTGCTGCACCGAGTCATTTTTGAACTTTCTTGCAGGCTATAGTAAGCAGAGGAGAATATGGTGTATTAGGGCCAGAGGATGATTGTTGGCCCCCAATGGCTGGCATGGTACCTTCTGCTTCTGATCAGGTAACTTAGTCTCTCACTTAGTGTTCAACATAGTCAAATGTATGATCTGGTGCTTTCTATTATTTTGTTTAGTTTTACTTTTCCCCAGCAAACTCTGGAATTGGCCATAAAATGTTGAAATGTCCACAATCATCAAAAAGCATCTTCATGCTTGCCTACCCTAGAGAAAAATAGTGTGTGGAGTCAGTACTGCCAACAACTTAGATGAGTCATACGGATATATGGTTTTGTTTGTTCAACATGTCTGTTTTACTGTTTGATCTTTGTTATTTTCAGTTTGATTGGGAAGGAGATCTACCACTGAAGTTTTCTCAGAGAAATCTGGTAATCTATGAAATGCATGTTCGTGGATTTACAAATCATGAGTCGAGTGAAACAAAATATCCTGGTACTTACCTTGGTGTTGTGGAGAAACTTGATCACTTGAAGGTGAACGCTTGGTTGTTATAATATTATGTGTTATAATCTGTAAGCTTAGCATATGATTGTGTTTTTCAGTAGTGAGTTCCAGCTTAACTGATATTGTTAGATCGAGAACAACTTTTGGATACACCGAAATTTGAGGACATATATGCATCTACATTCATATATTGTATTGCTAGGGTTTTTGGCCCATATTTTTCTCTCTCTATAAATGAATACACGAGAATTATAGTTGTGAGAAGAGACACTTTATTTATCTACTTAGGACCATAACAGTAAAAAATTTATAACTGAAGTGCAAGCAGATACAGCAAAAATCAGAAAAGCATACCCTAGGGAAGGTATCTTCACTTAGGGGTTAAGGCTAGAAAATTAATGACCTATTTGGGGATGATGAGAAGGGGCAGCTACTAGATAGAAGTGAGACCTGTAACTGTTAAAAGAGAGAAGGAATTAAAATCGAGCCTCTTTCCCTAAGGCCATGAGACCTTACCTAGTTGGGTTGCTTCAGATAAATGTAAGCATATAAACGGTGCTTCAGAAAGTCTGAAAATTATGAAAGATATCCAACTATTTTAGAAGTGCAATATCACTGGGGGCATTTAAGAAAACAAATCTGCTTATGGCTGGAGATCTCCTAGATTGATTAACTAGGCCAAAATGCTTTATCAGAAAAAGAAAAGGCTAAAACAATAAAAAAATTAATTATCAATAAAAGAAAAGGCTAAAACAATAAAAAAAATATTGCATAAATATCCCTTTAACTTAGCATCATTTTACATTTATGTCCTCCAACTTTGGTGTGATCAAATATACCCTTAAACTTGTATAAAGTTAAACAAATAGACACACACGTATGTGGCATCCAACATGACAATTTACGTCCAACGTGGTATTCTATATGTATTATACCATGTGTATTATGCCAATTTAAGTGTCTATTTATACACATCCAAGGTTGGAGGGCATATGTGAAATGAGGCCAAGTCAAAGGGCACATTTATGTTTTATGCCTAAAAAGGTAGACTAAAGCATGAGCATCTCAGATCTGCTTCATTTCGGGTGCTATATTAACAAACTCAACAAAATAAAGTAGTACTATGGGGTGTTGTCAAAAGTGAAAAGGGTCAAACCCCAAGGTCTGGTAGGAAAAGCATGAAACTGTGCAAGCTCTATTACTTTCCAATACATTTAACACATCATTTCTTGAATTTCGGAGTTCATTATAGGAAATGTCAGAATCTGACTCTGAAAAGTTGGATAATTGGTTATCTGGTGGCTATGTTAGAGTTTGCCTTAATTTAAGTTGAGAATACTTGATAGCACAGAAGCTTTTATTGCTTGCTGGTAGATTATCTGTGTAAAATTTAAGTGAAAAGTATACAGATTTTCTAATAGAAAATGTATATGAAATGAAAATTTAGGAGTCTTGGAACAGCCATATTTTTTATATTTCTACCTCATTGAATTTAATGGTGGCTTTTCATTAAGTTCATTACATTTCAGATTAATTTGACCATAAAGATTTATTCCATGACTGTCAAATTTCACTTCATTAGATTTTGAAACTTCAGCAGCTTTCCTATATGTGATATAGAATAAATTATTTATTGTGCATCTTAAGAGAATTCCATGTTCTGCAGGAACTTGGTGTCAACTGTATAGAGCTAATGCCCTGTCACGAGTTCAATGAGCTGGAGTACTATAGTTATAACTCTGTATTGGGCGACTACAAGTAAATCCTATCTTCACTTTGCAAAGAGTGACTTTCATGCTTTGAACTTATTGGTCTAGGAACATTATAGAAGTTTAATTTGTAAAACCACACCGGTTATCACACATTTAATATTTGAAATGGAAATGATTAAGAATTTGAATTTCAGGTTCATAACTCTCACTTAGATAAATTACTTGCATTTCAGTTCTAAACATGGTATTCGGATTAGCTTATGTCATGCTTGAGAGATCTTTTAAATTCACAAAATCTTGGAAGAAGATTGTTACATTTTACCTGTCTAGCTTTGCATGTTTAACCTTTTCTGTCAGCAAAGTTACTTTGTCCTTGTCCAAAGAAGTCAGAATAGTCTTAGGTTCAGAAAATAACCTCTTGCTCAGCTACCTAGAAATATTCCAAGTGAATTAGAATGGGGAGGACCATAGATTATATCCCTCTTTGATGATTCAAGTGATGCATGCAGAAGCCTGCTGTTGTGTGGACTATGTTTCTCCACTAGTTTGATTGCTTTGTGACAAAACCAGTCCAGGTAATCATAAGTTGAATGAATGTTCATTTAATACATAAGTGAGGCTGAATCAGTAGACAACAGTGATAGGTGGAGGTTATTTTTTCCTACTTCTTTGGGTACTACAACTTACCCGGTATATTTCCACAAGTGGGGTCTGGGGAGGGTGGGGTGTACGCAGAACTTACCCCTAATGTAACTAACTGATGTTGTTCCCTATTTTGATCATGGGATGGGGTTCTTTATTTTTTTTCTTTTGAAATTAAAGTAATTGATGCTGTTCCAAAACCCAATTATTGACATAATTTTATAGCTAGATTTTGTTAATGTGACAAGTCTATCTCATAAAAGACTGATTAAGAATCTCCTCATGTTTACCATCCAAATACTGCTAGATGGCTCAGAAAGGTAAAAAGTCAAATGGGACAAATTGAAGAGAGATTCTATGAGAAGAGTAGAGAGCATACTTTCGAAAGTCCTATAAGAATAATGTGCAAAGATCGCCAGAATGATCTTGGATGCAGGGATTGTAGACAGTTGATCTGGATGTCTCTTTTCATTGAGCCCATATCTGAGATATGAACCTGATATTTCTGCATAGGATTTAGTGCGAAAGTGATGCTAAGCTCTTATGGTGATAAATTTCAGACACACAATTTAAAATATTTTAGGCTTAATTAGCAATACTACTGAACACAGCATAATTGACATCGAAGCGTTTTCATTGTGTCAAGGCTGATGACTTGATAGTAGGTGCAAAATGCTAATTATATCTCTTTGGTTAGTGGTATATATCCTTGCCAGTATTTGCTTGAAGATAGTAACAACTGCATGAAAAATAGGCAAAACTCAAAAATATTGGTTTCATTATCAATTTTAATCTTATGGGATATTTATCTTTCTAGGTTTAACTTTTGGGGCTATTCTACTGTCAATTTCTTTTCTCCAATGGGAAGATACTCATCTGCTGGTCTAAGTAATTGTGGCCTCGGTGCAATAAACGAATTTAAGTATCTTGTCAAGGAAGCACATAAACGTGGAATCGAGGTGACTCTTACGGGTGAAAACTGCGAGTTTGTTCTCCAAATTTTGGTGTATTCTCTTCTGATTGTTCATTGGCAGGTTATCATGGATGTTGTTTTCAATCACACTGCTGAAGGAAATGAAAATGGTCCCATACTATCATTTAGAGGCATTGACAACAGTGTGTTTTATACGCTAGCTCCTAAGGTATGTTTGTCTTTAACCCATGCACATTTTAGTTTTTTGACTCTTAAAATAAAGTCCAGAGTCTAAGTTGAAGTTCCATGTATGGATTCATTTGCTTTCTCCTCAGAATTTAATCATTTTGTAGTTGCTCCACTATTACAAATTGATTCTTCGGATCATGAAAATATCCTTTTTTTTATTCGAAAATAATTAAACCCTTCAATTGCTTTATGTGAAAACAAAAAAATAATAATCAAAATCCTGCGGTGTGGGATTCTCCACCTTGAGCTTATTATGTTGTCTATAACTCCATATCACACACTTCATCAAAATCATAACAGATGAACTGGTCATATCCTTCTCAAAAAAATCATAACAGACGATTTTTTTTTAAAAGTTGTAAGGCTTCATTTTTTATGACTGTAAGCACTTTGGTGACGGTAAATGTGGTGCAAATGAGCAGAAACACACTCATCAGCAATGAGCCATGCCTTTCAATCATGTTTCCCTGGTGAAGCACTAAAATGGAGAGATTTGGTTAGTGTCATAAACTGCTGCCCAATGAATAAATTTAAACATAATGTATTATGGCTTCTCACAGAAGTCATACCAAAATACTCATGGGTGCTTGAAATTTGCTGATACTGGCTTCTTTTTGATTGGTGCTTTTCTATAAAGAATAATAACTCACAAGTTACGGAATTCGTGTATATTTTCTTGCTATACTTATTCCGAGGTCGTTATTTTACATTATAGAGAATATGTATCGACAAAAGGTTCTTGAATGTGGACCAAGTTGTATTTTCCCCCCTTTTTTGGATAATGGTATGTGAACAAAGTTGTACTTGGAAAAAGCAATGTATTTTAAACATTAGTAAACATGTTCTTACTTGTAGTTCAATTCGTTAAAAAGGAAAGTCCTATTTGCATGAAGGAATGTAGAGTTATTGTTTTAAAACATGGATTAACTGTATGATTCCTAGATAAAGATATATTTCATGGCTTTACAGGGTGAATTTTACAACTACTCAGGATGTGGAAATACCTTCAACTGTAATAATCCCATTGTACGTCAATTTATAGTGGATTGCTTGAGGTGAGTTAGATTCAAAATGTCATGTGGTGAATGTCAGCGTATTTCCTAGTTGTTGTTGGTCCATGGCAACCATATCCTGCTTAGCCATACGTCAGAAAGATCTCATGGTAAAATAATCATGCAGCAGTTCTCTTAAGACCAGTAAATAAACAAAAAAAAAGTCCCATAGCCAAGGTCTTAAACTTTTAGATGAGATGTGGCAGCACACAGAGATCCTCCTCTCAACTGGAACTGGCACCGATAGTCATATATTTCTTCAGGCTTGTTTTGAGGAAGCTAATCAGTCCTGCACATAAAGGGTTTGTATTAAAAATTACTCTAAATAAATTGAATGATCTAACACCCAAGGGTGTGTCTGGTGATCAATAAATTGGATTGAGAACCATGAGGTCTCAAGATCAAATCCCAGCGTATGAAAGAACACTAAGTGATTTCTTCCCTCTGTCCGAATCTTGGTGATAAAGTTACCCGGTACCTGTGCTGGTGGGAGGTAGCAGATGCCCTGTGGAATTAGTCAAGGTGCACGCAAGCTGACTCGACATACCACGGTTTATCCAAGAAGAAATTAAAATGACCTATCTTTATCAAGTTAAGTTCCTAGGTTGGATGACTTTACAATTCTGTTTATACCATAGCAAGGAGTAGTATGAAGCATTTTACTAAAGATCATGTATACTGACCTTCCCTTCGTGTACCCTCTGGCTCACTAGGTTTTACATCCTCTCAGGAAACTACTCATCTTTTACTATTTTAGTTTAACTTTTTTTTCTTTAGCAAATATTGTTTTTTAATGAAAATGGAACACAAACACATTTTACCCACTGCTGTTATAATGTCTACGACTTATTTGCTTGACCAGACAATGGTAATTCACATCTCGATTAAATAATATTCTTTTGCAATTGATTGGATTTAACCAGTATTTTGTTGCAATTTGTATCAGTTAACTGAAATTTGAAGGATAGAGCATTTCATGTCTATGAAGGAAATGAAGCTACAAAATAAAATAATTAAGTTAGTTTCAGTGCCTATGTTTTCTGCTTTTTGTTTAAAGAAAACGTCGACTTTTGAAGCATTTATAGCTGAGGTTTCCTTAAACTTTTCACAAGTTGACTAAAGAATATTGTTCTTAGTTCTTCAGTGTGCATCAATTATTTTATCTTGCGTCTGCATCTAATCTTCAGTCTAATATTGTAGTCTAAGTGGGATTTTTTAGATGAACTTCTCTGCTATTTTGAAGTCTCAAATTTCTGTGGTTTTAATGCATGGAGTTACCTGTAAAGTCTATAACCTGCATATGAGTAACAAATTTGGCGCTCTAACCATGAAATGTCCTATATTGATAATAATAGAAAAGGTCTACTTTGATCTCTTGACAGATATTGGGTTACCGAAATGCACGTAGATGGCTTCCGCTTTGATCTTGCTTCTATCCTTACAAGAAGTAGCAGGTACTTATGCCTAGCCTCATAATTCTTTCTGAATGTTGTTGAAAACCAAGCCTTTTCTCTTTGGCTTTTCAGCTCGTGGAATGCTGTAAATGTCTATGGAAATTCAATTGACGGTGACGTGATCACCACAGGCACTCCTCTCACAAGCCCACCTTTGATTGATATGATTAGCAATGATCCAATACTTCGTGGAGTAAAGGTTTTTAAGTTTATTTCTGTGTTCCTCTGAGGAAGTAACTTTTATTCCCCAAAACCCTTGAGAAGGACTTGTATCTTTTACTTTTGCAACTGTGGTGGCCCCTGAGTTTTGCTACGTTCCTTCTCTTTGGGTGATAAGATGCCTAATCTTTCCTCTTTATAACAGCTAATAGCTGAAGCATGGGATTGTGGAGGCCTTTACCAAGTTGGCATGTTTCCGCACTGGGGTATCTGGTCGGAGTGGAACGGAAAGGTCAGTTTGGAGACATTTTTGGTGACTATCTTCATTTCAGGTTGCTCACGTTTAGGGATATGAGAACACAGACATCTGGAAAGATAAACTAATTTATTAGAGGTCATCTCATTTGTTTACTATAGGTTTCATGCATACTAAGTAGAGTTCAGCTGTTTCTTCATGGATTCCTGTCTCATAAGCCGGAACTTCATAATGGTACCATCTAATTTCGTGGTGTCTCGTATGCAAAGAGAGGTGCATGGATAATAACTCTTGAGAGCTAAGTTGCTTTGACTCTCCAAAAATGTTGCCACACATGTCGGATCCTTAAAAACACACTATTTTTGAAGGATTTGATACGCACCGGTCGGCATTTTTCAAGAGTCCGAGCAACATTGCTTGAGGGTAAGCTTCTTGCTCTTGCTCTGTGATTCTGAGCTTCCTGATGCGAAGAGGAAAAGTATTTTATACTCTTTCGGTAGGTTAGAGTGGATTGGACTTGAATAGAGCGAAATGGATATAGAGGATAGCCCCAACTATTTCGGAAATAATTTGACATGCTCTAAAAGAATGAGCAACAATTGAAATTACTTTGTTTCTTTGCACGCAAGTTGAAGACATCTGATATTTTGGGGTGTATTACTTGAGTCAGATACATTTTTCTATTAACTCATTTTATTTTCCCTGTTTTTTAATTAAGGTAAGCAACATTTTTCTATTAACTCATGTAATTTTCATTATCTTTTAAAAATAAGGTAAGTAACTTTTATTAAAGCAAGTACCAAGGTGGTACTGCAAAATAAGAAGTTACTAAATTCCAAAGATCACCATAAAGGAGCTGTTCTCCAAGGCTAATTTCCACTCTTATTATATAGAAATTACAGTCTCATCTATTTGTTATTGAATGTCAGAATTGACGTGATTTTAAGAGTCAATACCTATTATATTCTGTATTCAGTTTTGCAAATCGCTTGGGCATGGCTAGGAATAAAGAACCAATTTAGTTCAAACCCCACGTCTCATGTTAGAGTTTGGCTGCAAAATCTTGGTGACAGCTAGGACGAAAGAAACAATTTATAACCCCATGTTGTAGTTTTGCTGGAAAATCGTAGGAAGTCATGTGATTGCTTTCTGGTGAATTCCTTGCGACCTCAATATTATTTTTGTCTATAAGATGTAGCAGATGAAATAATTCCAACAGTGTCCTGCAACAATTGTCAGACCTTGTGGGGTGGGGGGTGGTCTATGACCCATCAAGGTTGATATTTAAATGGACATTGCTGGCAGATTTCCCTAGGCAAGGCAGTAGATGTTATGATTTTTCTCTCTTCATCTTGTCTATGTAACTTTAGGAGATCACAGCTGTTGTAATTCCCGCCTTCTGCACATCTTATCATTCCATCTGTTGCAACTATTACAATTGTCATCCACTTTTTCTTACTAACTCCTGTATACCCTTATCTGTACAACAACAACAACAAACCCACTGCAGTCTCACAAGTGGGGTCCATGGAGGGCGGGGTGAACACAAACCTTATTACCTTTGTAAGGTAGAAAGGTTATTTCCGATAGACCCTTGGGAAAGAGGACAACATCCCTTGTAATTCCCACCCTTATCTTGTTTTGTATTTCATCAAAAGTTAATTAAGTGTCCTCACAAAATTTCGCACTAGTCAAAAGTTATAACTGTACTCTACTTTTTGGCATGCTTGTTTGAAGTGTTGTATAATTTCACCTCTATTGGAAATAATATTTTGCCCGGTTAAACTAACTGATTGAAATCGAACTCTGAAAGTTCTTATGAAGATCAGATGCATGTATTATATTGCCAAGGTAGCTATGGCACTGAATCCTGTTATATCTACATATCTTAAAATTGTACAAGGATGTATGAAGCCTAGACGTTCATGTGAATTAGTTGGCGTAGTATAAATAAACAGTTCTAACCTTTTCTTGACCAGGTTAGAATCCTTACAGAATTCATCAATGCCTTGAAATTTCTGCATATAGTGGTTTCTGAGGCAAATCTGCCAAATAATTGATATTCCTCTTGCAATACCCAACACAAAGTCACAGAGTTTTTTTTCCAGTCTTCCTAGCTAGTATGATTGCATAAGACCTCAAGGTGAAGGCTGATAAAATCTTATACTTTAGTTGTTGAATGAAAAGTTAAATCTATTAAAGGCCAAGTTAGATACTAGCCAAGAAGGAATAGATTCAGGTGTGTTTTTTATCGTAGGTCTCTGAACATAGGTATCAATGCAAGTGGAAACACATTAATTACAAACTGGAACCATCATTTGATGCAGATTTTTTAACGATTAAGCTTTTGCATATTTTACTTTATTTTTCTGACTATTAGAGTCTCATACAGCTTTTTGCTGGAGAACTCATAGTCGCAGAAGTGGTTAGGGTGGTGATATGGCTGGCCTATAAGCAACTACTTAGTTAACTTATAAAACTTGACTAAAAAGAATAACAGTTTATACTCAACTACTAAGACCATTCCATGTTGGGTGTTATTTTGAGCTTATCAGCTCTGGAGCTGCAGACTTGTTAAAAGTAATATCGGGCATTCAACTGTGAAGCTCTTTAGGTTCGCATCCCCTGTTCTAGCTACATGTCTAATCTACACCATCTGTAAGTTCAGAGCATATCAACTCTGAACTGCACTTTTCCACTACAGTATTTATTCTGTACTTCAATACTCTATTCGAAAGTTACCAAGTGTCTGGAATTTGACATGTAATTAATTGAAATTTGTCCCTTGAAATCAGTGAACACCAAAATGCTATTCTCTGTCAGAACATGACTATCTTCACTAGCCAAACCTCTTCCGAAAATTTCAGGGAGCATTGAGATTTATCCTAACTGAGTTGGATTTGTTATTTTATTTGTGGGAAGATCTAGCTCAAGTATAGATTTGATATAAGTGGGGGTTTCTCTGTAGATCCTTGTTAGTCAGCGGAAAATGCATTTAACCGCAAATACGATAGCAGCCTAGGTGTTACTATTCAGTTAACAACATTGTTTTCTGATTGCTGTCATTTAGGATATTGTTCTCTGTGTATGAATTGGTTGCGGCCTTTCTCTGATGCTTCATGTCTCCTGGACTTTTCCTAATTAACTTTTTCCTTTAAATATATAAAAAGAAAAGGAAATGCTAACCCGCTCTCTTGTGTTTTTTTTTTGTTTTAGTACCGTGACATGGTACGGCAGTTCATCAAAGGCACTGATGGGTTTTCTGGGGCTTTTGCTGAATGCCTTTGTGGAAGCCCAAATCTATACCAGGTATACTACTTTAGAGTAATTTTACCTTGTAGCTGTGGAGCTAGTGATTTCTAAATTCAGTTGGGGATGATTCAGTTCCTTAATAATTGAGCCCTTTGTGTTTATTGGTGTTCAATTAGAAAGGAGGAAGAAAACCATGGAACAGTATAAATTTCGTGTGTGCCCACGATGGTTTTACTTTGGCTGATTTAGTGACATATAACAATAAACACAATTTGGCAAATGGAGAGGACAACAAAGACGGGGAGAATCACAATAATAGTTGGAATTGTGGCGAGGTAAATCACTGTGCACAAATCTATATCTTCTGGATCTTTTCACTTATTTAAGCTGTCTTGAAGCTTGATTTCACACTGTGACAAGCAGATTGCTCTAGTAGTTCAAATGTTATATTTTCCTTTCTGTTGCTCCGAGATTGAGACGATTTATGTGCAACATGGTAGCATCCACATCCATGTGTTAGTGCATTTAGAGGTATCTGTGTTTTCCTTCTGCTCATTCTGTGTAATAATTATTTAGATGTCGTAATTGTTTTTGCCAATATTTTTTCTCGTGGCAGTTCATGTCATCTCTGTGTTTCTTACATTAATATCTGATCTCTGCATGTACTATCTTGTGTGTTGTAATAAATAGCACCAGTTTCTTTTTCTTGTGTAACACTGACATCTTGTTTAAATTTGTAAAAGTAGTTTTACTTGATCTTCTTTTAGCATAATATACTATATACTGAGTGGTGTTTTGTGAATGCAGCAAAAATAGTAATCTGGGTACTTTATTTGATGAGAAGGATCTGAGTATTATTTTAAAGATTTTTAGTTGCTGTTTCCTTGTTAAAATTTCTATTAGTTACTTCAACCAATGAAGTAGTTCTGCAGATTAGATTTATTATAGTTTAGATGCCACTCAACTTCCCTGCTGAGACTTTTTTTTCTTGATAAGTAATGATATACTTCCCTGCTGAGACTAAGGTTTACTTGAAGTGATATTGAAGGGGAAATATGTTTGAAGTTTTCTGCTCTTACTGTCATGTATTAGGTGTAGCTCTAATATTTAATCTTGACTTAATTTATCACATACCATATCTACATGAAGAGGATTCTATGACACTTGCTCAGGTGATTTGATATAATTCTGGTATGAGATGTTCCGGCATGAATATCTTCTTGAGAGTGTGATACAATGTAGAGGGCGGTGAATCCAATGTTTTGGGTGCATCCAAAAGGTTTTAAATGTGGATATCAAGAATTGTGCAGTACCTTACCATGATACTCTGTCCTTTTGTTTTCAGTTATAACAAGTTTACTTCTTCTCTGTAGGAAGGAGAATTTGCAAGTATCTTTGTGAAGAAATTGAGGAAAAGACAAATGCGGAACTTCTTCCTCTGCCTTATGGTTTCCCAAGTTAGTTCAATTCTCCCCTTTTGATGCAATTCAATAGAAAGTAACAAATAAAGCCCTCCCTATGTGTTGATAAACAGTAGGATATCTGATGGTCTTTTGCCCGTTTCTCATTTATTTGTATGGAAACTGATAATTCAACCAAAAATCTTAAGATAAGGAGTGGAACAAGACAATTCATTGCCCTTTCGTTGCTGTTCTATACTTGATATTTGACATTATATAACTCGACACCGGGTTTGCGAGTGTAAGGTGGGTTTAGTAAAGTTTGGTTCTAATACCATAAAAAAGGATCTGAGAATCTAACAAAAAAGTGTAGTAGTCCTAGACCTTTATGTACCCATCTGGTGGGCTTTCTACATGGCTATACCCAACTGTGGTACAATATAACTCAACAATTAACTTAAATTCTAGGATTTGTGAACCTACCTTTTTTGGTTATAATTTCATGCATTTCTTCTTTTTGTAATAGCTGTTCCTACTCGATTTTTGTTTTCTTCTTATAATTAATAATATTTTCCATTTGTGGTTCTTCAGGGTGTCCCCATGATATATATGGGCGATGAATATGGTCACACTAAGGGAGGAAACAACAACACTTATTGCCATGATAATTATGTACTTGTTAACTTCCATTTATACTACTACTTTTCCCAGATGTAGGTCCATTCTTGAGTTCACTGATTGCTACCCCTCTCTGTAGATTAATTACTTCCGTTGGGATAAGAAGGATGAATCTTCATCTGATTTTTTGAGATTTTGCAGCCTCATGACCAATTTCCGCCAGTAAGAATCCATATTGTTTTTTTTCAAATGTCGATACTTCTTTCTCAGCTTCTGAATTTTGTTTGCATGCTTGCAGTGAATGTGAATCACTGGGATTGGATGGTTTCCCTACAGCAGAAAGGCTGCAATGGCATGGTCACACTCCTAGAACTCCAGATTGGTCTGAAACAAGTCGATTCGTTGCATTTACACTGGTATTTCAAGTCTTTTCATTAGGATAGTAGTATCACGTAACTGTCATTTCCTTATCCAGCTTCTGCAAGGAACCTTACTGTCAAAGATATATTCCTATAATCCTAAGTTTCGACTCACTTCTCGAGAGTGAACATCACTAATTTTCAATATTTGACATTTTATGTAATTGTTTTTACTGTGTCTCGTGATTGATTTGTGTGCTTGAATCAACATGCAGGTCGACAAAGTGAAGGGAGAACTATATATTGCCTTCAACGCCAGCCATTTGCCTGTAACGATAACACTTCCAGAAAGGCCTGGTTATCTATGGCAGCCGTTGGTGGACACAGGCAAACCAGCACCATTTGACTTCTTGACAGACGACGTTCCCGAGAGAGACACAGCAGCCAAACAATATTCTCATTTTCTTGACGCGAACCAGTATCCGATGCTCAGTTATTCATCGATTATTCTTTTACTATCATCTGCTGATGATGCATAGTTTTATTCAACAAGTTAGGTGGAGGTAAATCATCTTCAGATTTTGTTATATGCAGTGAGCTAGGTGTTACTTTGTAAATAAAAGTAAGAAGCAGGAGAGAACAGAACTGCAAATGGGATAAAATTTGTGAGGAAGAAGCTGATGATTTATAAGATACAACTTGTATTATAATTGCATTTATATAAAATAAAATACTAGTGAACTTGTCTGAGTGAAATAAAATGTATAGTTGATTTCATAGAGGAATGCTTGGTAAGTAATTAGTTGATTTTCAACAAAGTAATAAGTTTACTATTTTGAATCCGAAGAAATTATAAACTTATGACAAGAAGAAATTTGTTCCGTGCATTGTACGTTTATTTCATACAAATTTGTATAGGTCTAATTTAACGTTGATAATTATTAATTACATTATTCTTTTGTATAAGTTGTTTTGTGCAAATATAACAATGACAATTAATTTTTTTCATTTAATTCTTGTTATTTGTCTGCAAAATAAAAAAAATGTTCAAAAAAATATAAAATTAATTAAGATAATATAGCGTATAGTATGTGATATAGTAATGAACTCTTGCTCTTAATTCAATCATATATAATAAAATTAATAAAGACAACGAATAAATATATATGTACCATGTTAATGAGGAAAATGACCAATAAATTGATTTTACATAAATGTATAAGAATTGTAAGATGATGATATATAAAAGTGAAGTGGATTAATATTTTCTGTTCACTTTATATAAGAAATCATTACTAAAAATCTATTAAAAGACGAAAATAATTGTAACCCAAAAAACTTATCATAAATAACAAAATCAGTAAATAAAGTGCAAATATTATACATACAAAAAGAAGGGTCTTTTGAGCAAGTTAACTAAGGAACATTAGTAGAAAACATACAAATAATGATATAACTCATCTTGAAAGAAGTTTCAATCACATATATAAAAAAATAATTAGAAATATTTAAATATAAATTATTTAATTATTGTTTTCAGCCTGTTCCTCATACTGAAATAATAGTATTTCAAAATTGAAAGGACCATAATGTGTCTTGCCTCCAACATTTTAACGATGAAGCAATATAATTCTCAAAACTCAATATTATATTGTAACAAAATCCAAAAGTAGAAAATGCGTGATAAATACATGACGATGAAAAACTTGTAAAAGTTGCATATGTTGTGAATACAAAACTAATAAGATGATTTTTACTTTGAGTTTTATAAATCATTTGACTATGTGATTGAATTGTATAAATTTTTTTCCTCTAAGTTTATAGAATCTTATAAAGTATATGAAAATACATGATATTAATTTTATGGAAAATGAGCAAAATCAATCATTTTAATTGAACTAATTATAGGTAATAATTAATAAATTAAAATTTTCAATAAAATGTAGGAATATAGAACAACTTTCTACTATCAGATTCAATGTATATCATAGAAGTCTATCAATTTATTTAAAAGTTAATTAATTAAATTTTATGTCTATCTTTAATATGTAATTTAATAGTGTAATTGACCTTTCAAATTTCCACGTGACTTTATATATATATATATATATATATATATATTCAACTTTTAATTTAAGAGTTTTAAGACTAATAAATTAGTCATTTATTTACTAATCTTTAATTAAATAGATTATGATTTAGTGTAGGGACAAAATAATAATTCAATTTTTTCCTAAAGTTCTTCTCACTTATAGTATAGTATGAGTATGAGTATGATGATTCATATAAAAATAAGAAAAAAAATATAATAATAGACATAACATACGAAATATGTGTTATCATTCTCACGATCTTGTTATTAATAAAATAGAAGAAAAATAATTTGAAATTAATGTACAATCCTTTGAGATCTTCACTTGGACAAGTCGGTCACGATTCACTAGTCTTTGTTTATCCTTCAAGTTAAACTAAAACACCAAAAACTTGCAATTAAGAAGGCTAATATGATCATCTCTACAATCTATTGTTCAGACGAGGCTTGTTCAAGTTGTGCTTCAGAGGACGAGCAGTTTAGTCAGTGGTGGCACACATTTATAGGGTGTAGTGTCACGTCCCACCAATTCTTACTAAAATTTTGCATATGAATAGGGGCGAAAAACTCTAGAGTTTTAGAGAAGTTTATAGAAAACTCTAGAAGCTCCTAGATCTTTCAAGAAGGCTTTGGAAAGTTCTAGAAGGAAGACTAGATATTTTCTAGGAAAACTTTGAAAAATCCTAGAAAGTGTAGAATTCTCTAGAAAGGGTACCAAAGTGTAAATAACTTAGGGACTTGTAAGTAATTATAAATTACACATTAGCCCCTAAGAAGTAGTATAAATAGAGGGACTCTTATTGTAAATCATCCAACAAGTTGTAACCAATCTTCCAAGTAATATAAAAGCCTTCTTCCGAAATTCTCTAAGTCTTTCCTTTCATTCTCTTAGCAATCTTAGCATAAAAGGGCTTACTTGAGCTTACAAGATCGTGAAAGATTCGTGAGTAAGTTGTCAAGTGTCGCACTCTAAGTCCGTGACAATAGACTATCATTGTCTGGCTGACCCGTTAAGCTAATAAGCAGTGAAGTTGGCTCCACCAAAACCAAAGTATATAGCCCCTCATGGGCCAGATAGTCAAGAACTCGTGGGCATCCTTCTTGAGACTATCTCCTCTGAGGTTTTCTGGAGCTATTGGGGAGGATGTCACGAGTTTTTGACTATATTATCATGAACAATATACGTACTTTGGATTCGATGGAGTCAAAACGAGCCGACTTTACTGCTTATAAGCTTGATGGGCCAAGAGTGACAATCACCATATGTTCCTAGGGATTTCCAAATTATCCTAGATTTTCTTTTTTCATCGGCTGGCTATCCACTATAGCTGGGAAGTCCACCCCATTTTTTTAATTCAAAAGATAAACTTGCCAAATTAGTTAGGACTTAGGATTACATTTACCGTTCATTTTAGTTTGTTTGAAAAAGAATGATTTTTTTGTAACATTTTAATTGCAATTTTTTTATGTGACGTGTTTAATGCCATAAGATTAAATGACATTGTAATTTCAATTTTTCACATAGCATATATAAGGACTAAAATAGAAATACTGCAACATCACAAGATTGAATTGTCTTTTTTATTAACTTCATGCGCTAAATCAAACTAGATCATTTAAAAAAAAATGTAAATATCATCTCTTGTGACAGCCTTAGACTTCTACTAAGTATATTGCGGAACATTTGACAACTCGCTCGTGAATCTTTTTCGATCTTGCAAGTTCAAAGTAAGTCTTTTAATACTTAATCGCCAAGGATTTGCATGAGAAAGCTTTTGTATTTCTCAAAGACAAGAAAGATTTGTGTTTCTTACTTCATGGTTTCACAAATGAATGTCTCTCTAGTTATTGGCCAAATCCATCGATGGCCTCCTAAAATTGATACCAAGTTTCACTTAGATACCTCATGTAGGTGATGTTATTTTAGACACCTCATGTAGACATATGTTGTGTCATTTTGACACTTTTTGTTGATATGTCAAAGTGAGTCTGATAGTACACTCAATAATAACACAGAAAGACTTAATTTAGCCATTTTTATTTTATTTTCTCTCCTTCTCCTCCATTTTTAAGCCACCACCCCACCATTTTTTTTCAAAAGCTTAAACTCTTTCAATGGAGATCAAATTTTTTATTCAAATTCATTTTAAGTCATTTTTTCTTCTTCTTCATTGTATTATTTTTCTAAATCTACCATCACCTCCCTCCATTTTTTTCGAAAAAGATGAATACCAACACCCATATTTCGTATTTATTATCTCTCTCTTTCTTCCTTTCCCTCTTTCTTCCAAAAAAGTAACATTAAAAAGAAAAAGAAAAAGAAAGAAGAAGAATAAATATGAAACATAGTAATAAAAAAGAATATTTTTTTCAAAAAAACACAAAAGAGACTTTGAGTGTAATAAAAAAGAGATTCTTTTAGATTAATATTTTATTTTATTACTAAATAGATTTTAAAATAGTTTTTAACTTAAAATAAAACATGTAGTCATTTAATTGATTGTTTGTCACATCATCAATGAATGTACTACACTCTTCTTCAATTTTTTTTGTTTATTATTAGAAAAGTGTCAAAATAATATAACGAGACTATACACGAGGTGTCTAAAATGAACATTCCTTAATTGAGATATTTAAATAAAACTTGTTGCCAATTTTCGGAGGCCCACCGATGTACTTGACCCTAATTCTATTACTCACTCTAAGCTAAAATGTAAATAATAATAGTTAAAAAAATCCCTAAATATTTACAAATAAATCCTTTCTCAAGAATACTCTACACAAATAAACTATTCCAAGGACCTTCAGTGAAAATCCATTGAATTCTAAGCTCTTATATAAGAATTATCCATATATTTTTAGAACCTTCCACTAAGAACTTACCTTATCGCCGTTGTTATTTCTTTTCTCATCTTTGTTCCTACCGTTAAAAAGATCTGTCTCGTTTGTCCACGCCTTCACTTTTTTTTATATGTTTTTATGAAAAATAAGTTGTTTTTCCATGTTATATATACAGAGAGAGATTCCTCTGCCCAACATTTTTTTGAAGCTATTTCGTGTGTCCCGATCATTAGACCACTAAAACAATCATTTAGGGGTCCCAAATAAAATAATATTTATTTAATATTAACATTTTTTTACGTGGATACCTTATAATTTGCTGACTTATTTATCAAGAACCCACCTTACTATTTTTATATATTTTTATTTTTATTCTCTCATTTATTGAAAGTCTACCAAATGATTAAAATTTTTGAATTTTGTAAAATCTATTGTTGTGTATGTATGAAAAAAATAAATTTATTTTTTCGGTATATTTTTAAAATTTTAAGTACTACAACAAATTAATACTATTTTTATATCACTATATCAACGCGACTATTTTCATATCATTATATGAGATTTTAAATATTCTGAGCAACATTTTTTTTCCAGAATTTTATATTATATTATATTTTTTTATTTGAAATTTTCATTGTCTATGTTTTTGATTCATAAGGTTTATATATATTCTATCTTTTCGAAACACCACTTATAAAATTATATTGAGTATGTTATAATTATTCGATTTATATATGCTTACTTAAAAATTCATGAGGCACAATGAAGTTTATATACATCAACGCTAATTGAAACCTCTTTTTTTTTTTTTTACTCTGATATAAATTGGATATGCTACTGGTGATAATGATTTTTTTTTATAGATTGTCTTGACACTGCAGGCTTGACTTTTGTTGAT